TTCTGCAATACAGTTAAAGGAACTACTTAACCCAATCCCTGAATTTGTAAGGGGGTAGGGGGAGCCCACAGCCCAGAAAAGAACTGCCTCCAAAGTTGTGTTTTTAACTGTTTGGAATTTTGAATGCAAAGGTGTCACTTACACACTCTGGTTCTCTCTCCAACCCCTCGCTGGCGAAGGAGGAAAGGCCCACAGAATCAGGAGTCCAGGTTTTGCTTTCTCAGGCTCTGTCAATGGAGGCAAAACCATGTACATGCCTTAATTAAAAAGTACATTATTGCTAAAAAATGCTAACCATCATCTGAGTCTTCAGGGAGTCGTAATCTTTTTGCTGGTGGAGAGTCTTGCTTTAATGTTAATAGCTGCTGACTGACCCGGGTGGTGGTGGCTGAAGGCTGGGGTGGCTGTGGGAATTTCTTAAAATAAGACAATGAACTTTGCCTCATCGACTGACTCTTCCTTGCATGGATGATTTTTCTGTAGCACGCGATGCTGTTTGATAGCATTCTACCCACAGTATAACTTCTTTCAAAATTGGAGTCGATCCGCTCAAAGCCTGCTGCAGCCTCATCAACTAAGTTTATGTAATATTCTAAATCCCTTGTGGTCATTTCAACGATCTTCACATCATCTTCACCAGGAGCAGACTCCATCTCAAGAAACCACTTCCTCTGCTCATCCATAAGCAGCAGCTCCTCATCCGTTAAAGAGCTATCATGAGATTGCAGCCATTCGGTCACATCTTCAGGCCCCACTTCTAATTCCAGTTCTCTTGCTATTTCCACCATATCTGCAGTCACTTCCTCCAATGAAACCTTGAACTCCTCAAACTCATCCGTGAGGGTTGGAATCAACTTCTTCCAAACTCCTGTTATGGTTGATGTTTTGACCTCATCCCACGAATCGCGGATGTTCTTAATGGCATCTAGAATGGTGAATCCTTTCCAGAAGGTTTTCAATTTACTTTGCCCAGATCCATCAGAGGAGTCACTATCTGTGGCAGCTATAGCCTTACAAAATATGTTTCTTAAATAATAAGACTTGAAAGTTGAAATTACTCCTTGACCCAGGGGCTGCAGAGTGGATGCTGTGTTAGCAGGTATGAAAATAACATTAATCTCATTGTACAACTCCTTCAGAGCTCTTGGGTGAACAGGTGTATTGTCAATAAGCAGTAATATTTTGAAAGGAATCTTTTTTTCTGAGCAGTAGGTCTCGACAGCGGGCTTAAAATATTCAGTAAACCATGATGTAAACAAATGTGCTGTCATCCAGGCTTTGTTGTTCCATTTATAGAGCACAGGCAGAGTAGCTTTAGCATAATTCTTAAGGGCGGTAGGATTTTCAGAATAATAAACGAGCATTGGCTTCAACTTAAAGTCACCAGCTGCATTAGCCCCTAACAAGAGAGTCAGCCTGTCCTTTGAAGCTTTGAAGCCAGGCACTGCCTTCTCCTCTCTGGCTATGAAAGTTCTAGATGGCATCTTCTTCCAATATAAGGCTGTTTCACCTACATTGAAAATCTGCTGTGTAGTGTAGCCACCTTCATTAATTATTTTAGCCAGATCTTCTGGGTCACGTGCTGCAGCTTCCACGTCGGCACCTGCGGCTTCACCTTGCACTTCTATGTCACAGAGTCGGCATCTTTCCTTAAACCGCATGAACCAACCTCGACTGGCCTCAAACTTTTCTTCTGCAGCTTCCTCACCTCTCTCAGCCTTTATAGAATTGAAAAGCGTTAAGGCCTTGGCCTGGATTAGACTCTGGCTTAAGGGAATGTTGTGGCTGGTTTGATCTTTTATCCAGACCACTAACACTTTCTCCATATCAGCAATCAGGCTGTTTTGTTTTCTTATCACTCGTGTGTTCATTGGAGTAGCACTTTTCATTTCCTTCAAGAACTTTTCCTTTGCATTCACAACTTGGCTAACTGTTTGTCGCAAGAGGCCTAGCTTTCGGCCTATCTCAGCTTTTGACATGCCTTCCTCACTAAGTTTAATCATTTCTAGCTTTTGATTTAAAGTGAGAGACGTGCGACTCTTCCTTTCACTTGAACACCTAAAGGCCATTGTAGGGTTATAAATTGGCCTAAATTCACTATTGTTGTATCTCGGAATAGGGAGGCCTGAGGAAAGGGAGAGAGAGAGGGGAACAGCTGGTGGGTAGTCAGAACACATACATGTTATCAAGTTCACCATCTTATATGAGTGTGGTTTGTGGTGCCACAGAACAATTACAATAGTATTATCAAAGATCACTGTTCACAGATCACCATAACAAATATAATAATAATGAAAAAGTTTGAAATATTGAGAGAACTGCCAAAATGTGTCACAAAGACACAAAATGAGCAAATGCTGTTGAAAGAATGGCACGGAGAGACTTGCTCAACACAAGGGTGGCCATAAGCCAGCAATCTGTAAAACACCCTGTATCTGTGAAGTGCAATACAATGAGGTACGCCTCTACACAAGGGTGGCCATAAGCCAGCAATCTGTAAAACACCCTGTATCTGTGAAGTGCAATACAATGAGGTACGCCTGTACACAAGGGTGGCCATAAGCCAGCAATCTGTAAAACACCCTGTATCTGTGAAGTGCAATACAATGAGGTACGCCTCTACACAAGGGTGGCCATAAGCCAGCAATCTGTAAAACACCGTGTATCTGTGAAGTGCAATACAATGAGGTACGCCTCTACACAAGGGTGGCCATAAGCCAGCAATCTGTAAAACACCGTGTATCTGTGAAGTGCAATACAATGAGGTACGCCTCTACACAAGGGTGGCCATAAGCCAGCAATCTGTAAAACACCCTGTATCTGTGAAGTGCAATACAATGAGGTACGCCTGTACACAAGGGTGTCCATAAGCCAGCAATCTGTAAAACACCCTGTATCTGTGAAGTGCAATACAATGAGGTACGCCTGTACACAAGGGTGGCCATAAGCCAGCAATCTGTAAAACACCCTGTATCTGTGAAGTGCAATACAATGAGGTACGCCTGTACACAAGGGTGGCCATAAGCCAGCAATCTGTAAAACACCCTGTATCTGTGAAGTGCAATACAATGAGGTACGCCTCTACACAAGGGTGGCCATAAGCCAGCAATCTGTAAAACACCCTGTATCTGTGAAGTGCAATACAATGAGGTACGCCTGTACACAAGGGTGGCCATAAGCCAGCAATCTGTAAAACACCCTGTATCTGTGAAGTGCAATACAATGAGGTACGCCTGTACACAAGGGTGGCCATAAGCCAGCAATCTGTAAAACACCGTGTATCTGTGAAGTGCAATACAATGAGGTACGCCTCTACACAAGGGTGGCCATAATCCAGCAATCTGTAAAACACCCTGTATCTGTGAAGTGCAATACAATGAGGTACGCCTGTACACAAGGGTGGCCATAAGCCAGCAATCTGTAAAACACCCTGTATCTGTGAAGTGCAATACAATGAGGCACGCCTGTACACAAGGGTGGCCATAAGCCAGCAATCTGTAAAACACCCTGTATCTGTGAAGTGCAATACAATGAGGCACGCCTCTACACAAGGGTGGCCATAAGCCAGCAATCTGTAAAACACCCTGTATCTGTGAAGTGCAATACAATGAGGTACGCCTGTACACAAGGGTGGCCATAAGCCAGCAATCTGTAAAACACCCTGTATCTGTGAAGTGCAATACAATGAGGTACGCCTGTACACAAGGGTGGCCATAAGCCAGCAATCTGTAAAACACCCTGTATCTGTGAAGTGCAATACAATGAGGTACGCCTCTACACAAGGGTGGCCATAAGCCAGCAATCTGTAAAACACCCTGTATCTGTGAAGTGCAATACAATGAGGCACGCCTCTACACAAGGGTGGCCATAAGCCAGCAATCTGTAAAACACCCTGTATCTGTGAAGTGCAATACAATGAGGTACGCCTGTACACAAGGGTGGCCATAAGCCAGCAATCTGTAAAACACCCTGTATCTGTGAAGTGCAATACAATGAGGTACGCCTGTACACAAGGGTGGCCATAAGCCAGCAATCTGTAAAACACCCTGTATCTGTGAAGTGCAATACAATGAGGTACGCCTCTACACAAGGGTGGCCATAAGCCAGCAATCTGTAAAACACCGTGTATCTGTGAAGTGCAATACAATGAGACACGCCTGTACACAAGGGTGGCCATAAGCCAGCAATCTGTAAAACACCCTGTATCTGTGAAGTGCAATACAATGAGGTACGCCTGTACACAAGGGTGGCCATAAGCCAGCAATCTGTAAAACACCGTGTATCTGTGAAGTGCAATACAATGAGGTACGCCTGTACACAAGGGTGGCCATAAGCCAGCAATCTGTAAAACACCCTGTATCTGTGAAGTGCAATACAATGAGGTACGCCTGTACAAGTCTTGGTTATTCTTTCTTACTTTTTCATAAAATGCTCAAGGGCTTCAAAAAGATGCAGAAGACATTTTTGCATAAAGATAAGCGTCTTATGATACAGAGTACAAATATATTGGCAAGCTTTCCTGTCACTTGTAAACTGGGTTAGAAGGCAATCCCTAGAGTTCCAGAAGTGTTGCGGAAATATTATCATTTTAATTTACAATCAGGATAGAGTGTATTCAAGTGGGAGTCAAGGGATCTGGGTTCTAGCTGTCATTCTGCACAGCGTGATCCTATCTCTCAACTCCGGGATATCAGAAGCACCATCACAAAATGAAAGGGGCTGAATCAGGCCATCTTGAATAGCCTACCCAGCTCTGTTATTCTGCAATGCCATGAAATCAGAGCAACATGTTCCAAGCCACCTGGGGTCAGGGATCTTAGAACCTATATTCAATGTGCAGTACCTTTAAAATTTCTACCTCTTTCTGGAGACCTGTTCTTATTTAAATACCTTTATTTTACATGTTCTTCTGTGCATTTAACTGCATTTTCCTATTTAGCAGCCGCTTCATCATTAGCAATAAAAAAAGTTTCTCAAGGACGTATTTTTTTCTTTCTTACTTTTATTTTTTTTCAACTTGCTTTTCCAATTTCTCCAAGACCTCCTCTGGAGTTGTGGAGGCCAAAAGCTTCACCACTTTTTCACGAGATTTACTGCCCTGGATTAAAAGGAAAAGACAGTGTGAGGATAACATACTAAACTGTCTAACACTATTAGAAACAGACCTCAGTTGTATGCATTGCGGACATTGTGGGGTTCTTACAGGTGACCTGCAACTTTCCTGACGGCTTCACTGCCACTTTCTCCTGGCCATTGTGATCTAACCAAAGTCTATCTCTTAGATTCCACCTTATTATAAATTTTATAACTCTCCAGGGTTTTTACCTTCATATATCAATTTTTGTAATAATAAAAGCTGGGCATTAAAATTCTTTAATGAATATGGAATCCAGATGTATAGTATTCTGGTTTCCAGTAATTCTTTTGTTTAAATTAAAAGTGAAAATCAGCCCTAACTGGTTTGGCTCAGTGGATAGAGCATCGGCCTGCAGACTGAAGGGTCCCCGGTTTGATTCCAGTCAAGGGCATGTACCTTGGTTGTGGGCACATCCCCAGTAGGGGGTGTGCAGGAGGCAATTGATCGATATTTCTCTCTCATCGATGTTTCTAACTCTCTATCCCTCTCCCTTCCTCTCTGTAAAAAAATCAATAAAATATATTTTTTTAAAAAGAGTGAAAATTATTTTTTAAATTATCAAAACAAATATTGCAATTTCATATGAACTTTGTATAAAAATAATTCCAAGATCAACCAAAGGACTTGTATGCATGCGTATAGGCCTAACCAATGGACACAGACACCAGGGGGGTGAGGGCATGAGTGGGGGGATGGGGGGCTATTAGGGGGGGATAAGGACACATGTAATACCTTAATCAATAAAGAAAAAAATAATAAAAAATAATTCCAAAACACAGAACAAATTGTTACTCTCTATGCTGTTACACATTTCTGAAAATTAAAAAAAAAAAAAATTCACATATTAAGTGCTGTGATTCCATAACCACTTAAGGCAACTATTGAAAACCATTTGTTTTGAAACACATCCTTTAAAAAAGGTAAATCGAGGCAGGGATTTATCTGATTGGGTAGAAGTTCTCAGGTAGAAGAGTGGGGAGTGCCTTACAAGCAAATAGCAGAGCATGCACACTGGCAGAAAACCAGAAATGACCTGCCAACTATTGTGGACAATGAGGGACCTGGTGTGCAATGGATTTTCAGGTGCAGCCTATTAATCAATGACTGAATGCCAGCTGGAACCTGGAGGGGAGCTACAGAGTGTAACACTGGAAAACAAGTTGAGCTTTAAGAGATATAGACGGGGCCGGGTCTCACTACTGCAGGTTCTATTTCAGTAATTCTAGGGCAGTGATGGCGAACCTATGACACGCGTGTCAGAGGTGACACGCGAACTCATTTTTTTGGTTGATCTTTCTTTGTTAAATGGCATTTAAATATAGAAAATAAATATCAAAAATATAAGTCTTTGTTTTACTATGCGTGCAAATATCAAAACATTTCTATATGTGACACGGCACCAGAGTTAAGTTAGGGTTTTTCAAAATGCTGACACGCCGCGCTCAAAAGGTTCGCCATCACTGGTCTAGGGCAGTGCCCAAGAACCTGAGTTTGAGAAACCATTCCCAGGTGGTCGCGATGTCCACCCCTAGTGCAAACCTGTGGTATGAATGACTTCATAGGAGCTTCTCCCCGTGAGCACGGGTAACGTGCAGGACCAGAAACACTTGACGGGCTCACTAATGGAGATGCCAACAGTACGAACCATTCTAGATTGTTTATTACGGTGACTCGAAGGAAGAGAGGAACGAAATTAATCCGACAGAAAAGGTACAGGAGAAAGTGCTGGAAATGGTGGCCACTGAGGAATGTAAGAAGTGTGCATGGACAGTCTTAGTAAGGATTGATGCAGCAGAAATGAAGGAGATGGGATAGGAAGAATTCAGATTTTAGATTTTAGGGGTTAAATGAATATGACAATGAAAAACAACTAGTTTTTCAATTACTTGGAAAAGAAAAAAAATCAGTACTTTTTAAATAACAAGTGTAATAATCAAAGATATTTAAATATATTTTATTGAGTTTTTTAAAAATATATTTTATTGATTTTTTTACAGAGAGGAAGGGAGAGAGATAGAGAGCCAGAAACATCGATGAGAGAGAAACATCGACCAGCTGCCTCCTGCACATCCCCCACTGGGGAAGTGCCCGCAACCCAGGTACATGCCCTTGACCGGAATCGAACCCGGGACCTTTCAGTCCACAGGCCGACGCTCTATCCACTGAGCCAAACCAGTCTCGGCTATTTTATTGATTTTTTACAGAGAGGAAGGGAGAGAGATAGAGAGTTAGAAACATCGATGGGAGAGAAACATCGATCAGCTGTCTCCTGCACGCCCCCTACTGGGGATGTGCCCGCAACCCAGGTACATGCCCTTGACCAGAATCGAACCTGGGACCTTTCAGTCCACAGGCCAACGCTCTATCCACTGAGCCAAACCGGTTTCAGCAATAATCAAAGATTTAGCCCTGGCCAGGTGGCTCAATTGGTTGGAGTGTCACCCTGTAACCAAAAGGTTGTGGGTTCTATTCCTGATCAGGGTACATACCTAGGTTGCGGTTTCAATTCTTGGTCAGGATGCCGTATGCGAGGCAACTAATTCCTATTTCTCTCTCTCTCTCTCTCTCCCTCCCTCCCACTCCCCGTTCCTCTCTCTCTCAGAAAATCTATAATAAAACATACCCTCAGGTGAGGATTTTTAAACAAAGATATAAAAGCGAGAAAGAGATACCTACCTTATCTAAAACCACATCACTCTTCCTGAGTTCTAAGACCTTGGAGAGATACCGACAGAGCTCAGCGTTAGCCTCCCCTTCCGATGGAGGTGCTGCAATGGCGACACTCACAGCTTCGGTTGTCAAATCTGGAAGGAAAGCAGCACGCACTTTATCCTTGAGGAGTTCTTCTTTGGGAAGTGAGAGCATTTTGTAAAAGAATCTGCATTTGCCTGGCACACAGTAGGTTTTTACCGTTAGATGCAGAAATGAAGAATTAAACTAATCAGGTGTAAGGGGAACATAAACATGATAAATATGCCTTCACTAAAACAGAAAACGAATTCAGAGAAGAAAAACTATGTTGACGCTGACGAGGATGGGCCTAAAGAATCCTGGGCAGCATGGGGCGGTGAGGGCCTGGGGCGGGGGGTGGGAGCAGGCTTGAGGGGGTCAATGAGGGGGAGAAAGGGGGACATATGTAATACTTCCAACAATAAGGATTTATTAAGAAAGAAAAACAGAAAAGCCTGGGCAGTATCCTGGATTTAGGCAACTGGAAAACACGCTTATCTGACAGGAAGTGCTCACGGAGGGAGTCAGGAGCCGGGGTGGAGGCCCAGCAAACATCCCTGAAGAAGGATGAACAGGGCGGCTCCCTGGATTGTACAGGGTTGTTCAGTTTCCTCATCAGGACAACGAGAGCACGGGGCTACATTTGTCTCGTATGTGAAATGCCTCTCTAATGTTTTCAAACCGTAATGTGTAATAAATATTTACATAACACATCCACTAATTTTCAGGGCACACGAACATGTTTGAAGGACTTTACAAATATGAGCTTGTGTAATCCTCATAATAACTTTATGAAGGTACTGATACCAATATTATCTCCATTTTACAAATGAAATAGGAATCAAGATGAGTGATGTTGTGAATCAAAAATAAACTTAAACCCATGCTGTGAAATCCAGGGACAATGAACACTGCTTCGGAACAGACTCCCCCATCAATACTGCATTGACAAAGAGCAGCCTGCCTGTTCTTTCTGAGAGAGAGAAGTATTTGCTCAAAGCAGTTTGTAAGTGAGCTTGAGCTGGTCCTATACCTGGGGTTACTCAGGCATTTCCACACACTCACACCTTCCCTGTGTGAACAACCTGGCCACAGGATCCACAAGACTGAGGAAAAGCCCTAGCCCCGTGGTTGGCAAACTGCGGCTCGCAAGCCACATGCGGCTCTTTGGCCCCTTGAGTGTGGCTCTTCCACCAAATACCACATGCGGGTGTGCACGTACAGTGCGACTGAAACTTCGCGGCCCGTGCGCAGAAGTCGGTATTTTGTGGAAGAGCCACACTCAAGGGGTCAACGAGCCACATGTGGCTCGCGAGCCGCGGTTTGCCGACCACTGTGCTGGTTTGGCTCAGTGGATAGAGCGTCGGCCTGCAGACTGAAGGGTCCCAGGTTCAATTCTGGTCAAGGGCACATGCCCAGGTTGAGGGCTCAATCCCCAGTAGGGAGCGTGCAGGAGGCAGCCGATGGATGAATCACTCTAATCATTGATGTTTCTATCTCTCTCTCCCTCTCCCTTCCTCTCTGAAATCAGTAAAGAAATATATATATATAAAAAAAGAATGAGGTAAAACAACTATCCTCTCCTGTTTCAGATTCTAAGGTGTACATTTTCTCACATTTTAAATAAAGTGTTTGATATAGATTTTGCCTTTCTTACTGGTGCATAAAATACTTGTGTACCTTGCAGCGGATGGCATCTTAGACCTAACGAAACCTGGTATTCCAACAGCAGACAGTGCCCACAGCAATACTTAGAAAACACTGGCCAAGGAGGGTACGGCCAAGCGGGCATAGTCAATCACACAACCAGGCCTGGCACCCCAATTCTGAGGTCTAATCTTCACAATATTTTTTAAAATTGGAATACAGAGCTGTAGAGGTGAAAAAGACCTTCAAGATAATTCAGATCGCCCTAACTGGTTTGGCTCAGTGGGTAGAGCATTGGCCTGCGGAATGAAGGGTCCCAGGTTCGATTCTGGTCAAGGGCATGTACCTTGGTTGCAGGCACATCCCCAGGGGTGTGTGTGTGCAGGAAGCAGCTGATCAATGTTTCTCTCTGATCAATGTTTCTAACTCTCTATCCCTCTCCCTTCCTCTCTGTAAAAAAATCAATAAAATATATTTTTAAAAAAATTTCAGAAGATAATTCAGATCAATGGTTCTTAAACTTTTTCCCTCACTCAGAATTTCCTGCCCCCCCCAATACACCACACACACACACACACACACACACACACACACACACACACAGCAATTTCCCCTGAAATCCCATTTAAAACAGACGTAAACACAGCTTCTCAGAAACCTGGGCTATTGGCCTCCCCCTTTGCCCACCTTTTGGGCTCCAGGCAATAACTTGAAAGCTTTTAACTTAGTCCAATGATCCCATCAAACAGATGAAAGACCTGGACCCAGAAATGTTTTCTATCATTCTGATTTAAAACAAGTTCACAGGGGAGCTGATGAACTCTGCCTCCTTGGACCAATGATCTTTAAACTCCACCAAAATGTCTTCTTTCTTTCTCAGGCCAATGTCTCTAGTTCTGGAACAGGACAAACTACTAATAAGCGACACATGTTTATGTGTCCTTTCTAAAACATCCTGATTTAAAAAAAAAGGAAAGATATGCCCTAACTCAGTGTTTCTCAACCTTCCTAATGCCGCGACCCTTTAATACAGTTCCTCATGTTGTGGTAACCCCCAACCATAAAATTATTTTCGTTGCTAGTTCATAACTGTCATTTTGCTACTGTTATGAATCGTCATGTAAATATCTGATATGCAGGATGAATTTTCATTGTTGCAAATTGAACATAATTAAAGCATAGTGATTCATTACAAAAACAATATGTAATTATATATGTGTTTTCCGACGGTCATAGGTGACCCCCAAAGGGGTGGCGACCCACAGGTTGAGAACCGCTGCCCTAACTGGTTTGGCTCAACGGACAGAGCGTCAGCCTGCGGACTGAAGGGTCCCGGGTTCGATTCTGGTCAAGGGCACATGCCCACGGGTTGCGGGCTTGATCCCCAGTGCATGGGGCGTGCAGGAGGCAGCCGATCCATGATTCTCTCTCATCATTAATGTTTCTACCTCTCTCCCTTTCTCCCTTCCTCTCTGAAATCAATAAAAATATATTTTTAGCCCTAGCTGGTTTGGCTCAGCGGGTAGAGCGTCAGCCTGCGGACTGAAAGGTCCCAGGTTCGATTCCGGTCAGGGGCATGTACCTTAGTTGCGGGCACCTCCCCAGTAGGGGGTGTGCAAGAGGCAGCTGATGGCTGTTTCTCTCTCATCAATGTTTCTAACTCTCTATCCCTCTCCCTTCCTCTCTGTAAAAAATCAATAAAATGTATTTTAAAAAAATATATATATATATATATTTTTTTAAAAAGTATACCACGGTTTGTTTGTTTTTTTCATCTTTTACACATTGGCTTTACAACTGTACATTAGAATTTAGCATCTGGAAATGAAAAGGCCTCTAACTGTAGATCTGGACAACACACCTGCCTGGACAGGATAAACTCCCAATAACCAAAGCTGAGGGAGGAGGGAGGAGGGAGCCCCGGCTCCCAGGGGCGCCCACCACGGCGCTCGGCGGTACCTGTCACGGCATTGTGCTTAGCGCCCGGCTTGGCGTGGATGGCTATGGTGACACAGCCTTTGGCATCCACTGCCACGGGGCCTAAGGGAGGCAGCGCTTGCTCTGGCTCCTTGCTCTGGCTTTTACCCTAAAACGACAACAACAACCACACGACAACTTCACAGGTTGAAAAACATGTCCCCACACACGTGGTCCTTCCACCTCGAGCCAAGGCAAACCGTCGGCGCCCGGGGAATTCGGGCCACATGGCTCCAGCCTTCTTCAAGGCTCCAACCAATGCCGTCCCATCAACCCCACGCACTTTCCTCCGTCCTGATGGTCTGGCCCTGGCTCCGGACCTCAGCGCTGGCTCATGGCCCCCGTCCCGCCGAGGCAGGGACCACGCGTGCGGCACGAGCTAATGAATGAATGCGAACTAAACCCGGAAGCGCCTCTGTATGTGAATTTGGGGGGAAAGCGGTGGCCTTTCAAAGGCCTGCTGTGCAACATCAGTTGTTCTAGGACTTTTCGTCTGGCGCACACGGACTCTGCGCCGGGCAGCCTGCAGGCAAAGGCTGTGTGTCAAGGGGAGTAAGGGCCCCTGGCCCCGGCCCCCTGGGAGCTCGGGCTGCAGGGAGGCACCGCGCGCTGGGCGTCACTCCCGGAGGAGGAGGGCTGACCGGCCGGGGCACCCCGGCACCTCGCCGCGGGGTCTGGGAGACCGGCCGGAGTCCGCCCTGCAGAGGGGGCGCGGCGAGTCCCCGACAGGAGGGGTGCGGAGGGAGGGCGCAGAACAAAGCCTGGGGGGGCGGGGGGGGGGCGCAGGCCGAAGGCGCCTCCAGACTCACACCCGCCCGGCGCGGGGGGCCGAGGCCGGCGCAGGCAGCAGACGCGGCCCAGGGAGCCCCCTGGCGGAGGCGGCCGGCGAGCGAGGCGGGAGCGGGCGGCCGGAGCCCCCACCCGCGCGGCCCGCGCCTCTCCCGCGCCCACCCCTCCGCGGCCGCGGGACTCGCTACTGGCCTTGCTCGTCGCACCAGCTTTCTTCGGCATCTCGGCGCCAGCAGGGAGCCGGCCGGAGGCCCGAGCACCAGGTCCCGCCCCGAGCCGCCTGAGTGCGCAGCCGAGCCGGAGCATCCTCCCCGGGGAGGCGGCGGGGCGGGCGGCGGCGTCGGAAATGCCCTCTGCGCCTGCGCACACCGCGGGCGGGAGCGGCCTCGGGAGCTTCGCCCTCGGCTCCGGCGCGAGGGCGACACCTGTCGGTCGGCGGGAGCAAGACTTCGGGATTCTCCAGAGCAGCGGCTCTCAACCTGTGGGGGTCGAACGACCCGTTCACAGGGGACGCCTAAGACCATCGGCAAACACATAATATAATTACATATTGTTTTTGTGATGAATCACTATGCTTTCATTATGTTCCCTTTGTAACAATGAAATTGGGGGTCACCACAACATGAGGAACTGTATTAAAGGGTCGCGGCATTAGGAAGGTTGAGAACCACTGCTCCAGAGCCTGCGCGAGTCCCTCTTGTCCTGGGATGTGGCCCAGGAAACCCAGAGATGGGAAGCACCCACCTGTGCCAGGAGCTCGGGCTCCCACAGTGTAAGGAGCGAAGGATAACTGGTGTAGGGAATACTTTTTAAAATTTTTAATATGTTTTTATTGATTTCAGAGAGAGGAAGGGAGAAAGAATCATCAATGATGAGAATCATCAACTGGCTGCCTCTAGCACGCCCCCTAGTGGGGATGGAGCCCGGCCATGTGCCCTGACTGACCTTCTGGTTCATGGGTGGAGGCTCAACCACTGAGCACACCGGTGGGGCAGGGAGTAATTTGACTTCACTGTGGAGGAGTTAACTGGTATCTGGAGGGGCACATGACATTGACTTTTTGAAAAAACAAAAACCACAAAAAAACTAGATGGGCATTAATAGGATAGGGATATCCTATCAATGTTGATAGGAATGAAGCCAGGAGAGGGAGGGTAAAACAGAGGCAGAGGGTGGGGTTCTGAGCACAACGGGAGAGAATGACCCTTCTACAGGAAGCCGTAGTCAAGACACCTTTTCTTCATAAACGGACAGCCTCGCTGCACACGTAGGTGTGTTTGTAGGTTTGGTGGGAGGGAGCTGGAGCTTCTTTCATCAGCTACAGGAGGGGAGGTGTTAGGAGAGTATAACAGATTTAAATACTCAGGGGAATCAGAGAGCTGACTACTGAACCCTCCCCTGGCTGCACCAATGATCTAGTTGAACTTGGAGACCATAAAATCATCACGGCCTCAATGTGTACACTATCATTTTCAACACTTTGGACCCAGCAGCCAGGAAGTTAAAGATAAGGCGGACAATTGAATTCATCCAGGTGGGTGCGAGGGGGTTCTGGGTTGTTGACCAAGTAGTTAAAGTGATCAAAGGTCAAAAGTGGAGAAGGAAAAATGAAGAATCAAAGGTGGAGTCTAACTGGGTAGAAAATGAAGGTGTTTCATAGAACACAGCGAGAAGGGAACGACACTCTTAAGGTTCAATAACGGAAGTGGGGTGCGAGGGAGACCTGAAGAGCATCGAGGTTGTGGTCGGAGAGGATGTCTGTACCTTTCAGAGGTCGTGCAATTCCACACAATAAGGCACCATGTGAACCTGAGAAGTGGCTGGCATGGAACAGTGAAGGTACTGGAGGAGAGAAAGTGGAAAGCCAGGTTCGGATGAGTTGTCTACCCCACATGGACACTGAGGCCACTCAGTATAAAGGCTTTGGTAGTAGGAAGTGAATCAGGTGTCAAACCAGAGACATATTTTGTTTGAAATCAGTTAAGAAATGGGGCACAGCCCTAGCTGGTTTGACTCAGTGGATAGAGCGTTGACCTGAAGACTTAAGGGTCCCAGGTTCGATTCTGGTCAAGGGCATGTACCTCGGTTGCAGGCTCCTGGCCCTGGTCGGGGGTATGCAGGAGGCAACCAATCAATGTGTTTCTCTCACATCAATGTTCCTGTCTTTCCCTCTCTCTTCCACTCTCTCTAAAAATCAATGGAAAAATATTTTCGGGTGAGGATTAAAAAATACAAAAAAACACACAGCAAGAATAGCAACAACGAAACCAAGTAAATTTAATATTCATTATACAAAAACATGAAAATAAAGGCCCAGTCTAACAATGTTAAAAAAGAAAAAAGGAGCCCTAACCAGTTTTGCTCAGTGGATAGAGCATCAGCCTGCGGACTGAAAGGTCCCAGGTTTGATTCCGGTCAAGGGCATGTACCTTGGTTGCGGGCACATCTCCAATAGGGGGTGTCCAGGAGGCAGCTGATCGATATTTCTCTCTCATCCATGTTTCTAACTCTCTATCCATCTCCCTTCCTCTCTGTAAAAAAATCAATTAAAAAAAATATATATAAAAGGAAAGGGGGCACAAAAGCTTAATCTGTATTAAATAAAATTGGTTAAGTCATGACAGCCTCAATTAGAGCTTTGACAGTTATGGATATAAAAGGAGCACTTGCTATGGTGAATTATGAATGGTATCTGGCAGTTGTCTCGATGGTAAAGACAGGGGGTAGAGGAGTCCTAGAAAGAACCATTCGGGGGCTCTTTGCCCCTCCCCACGTGGGAGTCTGTGCTGTGAGATTCTTTCCCCTTCCCCACGTGGGAGTCTCTACGTGTTCTTCAATACATTTCCACCTTTGCTATACAAAAAAATAAAATAAAATAAAAAATTCAGCCTTTCCTAAAGGTATCAGCTCCATTTGCCACCTAACCTGTTTCCCTGACTTGTTGCTTCTGGCCAAAATTTCGGCCTCTAGAGGGAAAAAGAGTGGGGTAGTGCCCAGTGGTGTAGGAAAGGACAGGGACTATAATCCAAATGGCAGGAAACCGACTGTAAATGTTTGTACTGACTCCTATTTTAACTTTTTTCAGTTCTTAGTGAAGTTCCACGTAACAACTCCATCCTGTGCCAATGGATACTATGCAGACCTAAAACAAAGAATACTTAATATATTTATCTCAATTTGTGGGGTAGGTACCGGAATCATCACACTTTTTTTAAAAAAAGAAAACACCTGCCGAGACCGGTTTGGCTCAGTGGATAGAGCGTCGGCCTGCGGACTGAAAGGTCCCAGGTTCGATTCCGGTCAAGGGCATGTACCTGGGTTGCGGGCACATCCCCAGTAGGGGGTGTGCAGGAGGCAGCTGATCGATGTTTCTCTCTCATCGATGTTTCTAACTCTCTCTCACTCCCTTCCTCTCTGTAAAAAATCAATAAAATATATTTAAAAAAAAGAAAAGAAAGAAAACACTTTATATTCTATAGTAAATACAGGTTAGCCAGGTCCTATTGTGAAGTTGGAGAAAATGGCGACATGTTACTTTGGGACCCAGAAGAATATTGCCCAACTCTGTAGCTTGGGAGATACTGAGCTTAAATTCTGCTTCCCACCAGTTAATTTTTTTAAATGAGTTATAACATTTTTATTTTAAAAAATTTTAAATCCTCACTTGAGGATATTTTTCCACTGATTTTTAGAGAGTGGAAGAGAGAGGGAAAGACAGAGAGAAACATCGATGTGAGAGAAACACATCAATGGGTTGCTTCCTGCACAAGCCCTGACTAGGGCCCGGGCCGGGGAGAGCCTGCAACCGAGGTCCGTGCCCTTGACTGGAACTGAACCCGGGACCCTTTGGTCTGCAGGCCGATGCTCTATCCACTGAGCCACACCCACTAGGGCAGTTAATGACCTTTTAAACATGAAGTCCTTTGCCTGTGAAGTGGGTATTACAGTAGCACTTACCTCATAGCGATGTGAGAAACAAGGGAGAATGTGTGCCGAGTACTTAGTACAGAGGCTGGTGCACAGTAACCACTCCGGTAGCCGTTACTGACACTAACCACAGCGAGACGGCCATCACTGCCAGAGAGTAAGGAACCAGGCGTCTTCACTTCCTACCTCCTGAGATTAGACCGAGGCCACGAAAACCTCATCAAGAAACAGATGACAGCAGATGTCATTGCTGCAGCTCCTATGACTTGCTTTACGACAGCAGCGAGGCATTCTTAATTTGTGTTGCATTACTTCTATAAATTAAGAAGTTAAACCTGCCCTAACTGGTTTGGCTCAGTGGATAGAGCATCAGCCTGCGGAATGAAGGGTCCCAGGTTCGATTCCAGTCAAGGGCACATGCCCGGGTTGCAGGCTCGATCCCCAGTAGGGACATGCAGGAGGCAGCCCATCAATGATTCTGTCATCACTGATGTTTCTTTCTCTCTCTCTCTCTCTCTCTTCCTCTCTGAAATCAATAAAAATATATTTAAAAGAAATAAAAAAGTTAAACATCAATTAACTAGAACTCTTGTGCCAAAATGGCATCTTTTCAATAAACTTTTAGAAGAAAAAGACAAGTGACAAAAAATATAAATGGATAATATTTATTTTTTTAAAAATTCCAGGGATGCCCCATATCAGTAAACAATCCCGTTTCTTGTGCCTCCGCTACAGCTACCTTCAGTTACAATCACTGTTCAGTGCAACATACTGGAGGCATTTGAAATGCCTCCAACATTGGAAAACATGAACTTATCGCTAGTACACCATCCTGTTTAAGGCAGAAGTGTTTTCCACAGTGGTTGGTGCAGTGTTTGCTGGTTAACCAGGACCACACTTCCCACAGGTACTCCAGTTAACTCAGGCTTAGATCCATCAGGTCATGGAACCAGGGAGAGAAAAAGTCCCTTTTCTTCAGCAATGTCAAGGGACCTCTGCCACATGCAACCTCACGACCTTCTTAAAAATATACAATGAAATACAATGAAAGAAATGTTACATACTCATTACTATTCTTTGAAAAAATGAATCCTATTTAAGTGGTACTTTTTGACTTGTGATTTTTAACCATCTTCCACAACTTACACTTAATTTTACGTAAGTTTTTATAAGATAATCGTTTTCAAAAGAAAAAACAATGTTATTTATATAAAAATTTTCCTTTATAAAAAAGTGTATAAATATCATTCTGCCACATCTACTTCCTATCCTTCCTATTACGGCTGTTCCTGTGACATGTGTGAGGTCATGAATATTAAACATGTTTGACTTCTTGGATACAAGTGTGTAGGTGACAAAAGATGGTGTCACTTCAGCAGGAGTGGCGTGTTGGACATCTTTAAAATTTCAAAGTAGTT